TGCCCCCCAAAAACAGAGAATAGGGAAGAGATTAGCACAGTTTAAAGCTGGAGGTGAAATAGTACATCTAACACATTTTCTTAGGGAGGCCTGAAATTCAAATCCCACCTTTGATGTGGGATTGTGTGATGGAGGCTGTTTGTGTGAGCCTGGAAGTGTATTTCACCTCTCTAGACCTTTATTTCCTCGTTGATAAATGAAAAAAATACCTGCTTTACAGAGCTGTTATGTTAATAGATTAGCATAGTGCCTAAACTCTACGCTTAGGAAATCTTCCTAATATAACCATTGTGGCTATTCAAAAAAACTTTAGCAACTGTCTCCTGGCTTCCTATTCCTTAAAAAGATTATTCTTGATATGCATTAACTGAGGTTTCATCCTACAAACTCTAATTTGACCTACTTAAGCTTTCCACAGTCTCCTCCCTGATTCTCATAGATTTATATAGATGTAATTATTCTGTGTGCCCACGGGTACACCCCAAACCTTCACATTTAACCAAGATTCCTTTCTGAGTCCCAGGCCTGAATTATGGCTTCTAGCCATCTAGCAGCAAATTAGGAGACGTGAGATTCAGTTTCACAAACAAACTATGGCACCAATAAACTGAATAACATTTGATAAGCAATTTAAAGTGTCATTTCTGTTTTAAACATTAGTGTTTGGGTCAGAAGGTGATAGATGTTTTTGGTTTTGACATCTTAAGACATATCTAATCCAACCAATACCTATTGTTTCAACTATACTAGACGCCATAGCAGAGAACTTCAGAGGTAGGAGTGCTACTTGAGTCAGTGTGAGGTCACAGTATGTTGTTGCTAATCTCCTTGTGACACAACACAAAACAAGTGTTTTTATGTCTAATAAACAAAGGATTTAGTACCTTCATGCTTCTCTGTATAAGTGGTTCTCAAGTTTTCTTTGGTGTAAAGGGCCCCTATACACTCTTAAAAATTATTGAGAACTTCAAAAAACTTTCTTATAGGGGATATATCAATACTTATCATATTAAAAAATAAAAGCTGATTGAAAAAAATTTAAGTACTTATTAATTCCATTTGAAACAATAATAAATGCAATGACTTGTCACCTCAATAACAATTTTTTGTGAAATGGGACATTTTTCATTTTTCCAAATCTCTACTATCTGACTTAATAGATGTCAGCTTACTTTCATATCTGCTGCCTTTTTTTGTTGCTTTGATATATATCAAATCATTTGGCCTCAAACATATATGTAATTGGGAAATGAAGTATTTTAATACTCTCTTATATATTCTTTTTAGATACCACACAAAAAATTGACAAATAGTAATTCTTAATGATAAGTTGTAATGTTGAATCTAAAACAATAGGAATGAAACTTGTGTACTCTTGCATTAAAACCTGTTGGTCTATCTTACACATTAAATACATCTTTTATAATCACTCACGAATTTATAATAGATGTTGATTATTTAGAAAATATCAATGAGTTATGCAAATTTTTCAAATATTGATATATTTCCTTACTTCATATTTAAAAATCACAATCATTAAGTTCACCACCAATCTCATCCAAAAAAGTCTTTACATATTGGAAAGCTGTTATAGTCATGGCAGCAAATAAAGTTTTCAAATTTTATAATTTTCTCTTGAAAGCTTAGATAGGCCCTGGTCGAGTGGTTCAGTTGGTTAGAGCATCATCCCTATACACCAAGATTGTGGGTTCGATCCCCAGTCAGGGCACATAAAGGAATCAACCAATGAATGCATAAATAAGTGGAACAACAAATCTCGTTCTCTCACAAATCAGTCAATAATAAAATTTTAAATAAAATTAAGGAAGGTCAGATAGTATCACTAGCAACAAATACTGCCTGTTGTTTTTACTGTAGTGACAAGTTCACTTCATACATTTTTTCAAGAAAATCAAATGTCTTCCAAATATCTAAATCCAAATAACAGTAGTTTGTCCATTAGTTGTTCTTTCAAGTAAAAATGATATTTCATGATAAAAGTGGCCAGCTCAGTCACATGAAAGCTTTTCCTCCAGACAACCAAGGTCGTTTGGTGCACGGCAAGCTGTGTACTTTCCATTTCTTCACAGAGAACATTAAAAAGACATACTCAAGAGTTGACATTTAATGAAATTAATACTTTTTACTGCTTTATCAAAGGCTTTCTTAAATGAAATTTACTTCTTATTTCCCTGTGAGTGCATGGGGGTAAAAATACAAAGACTGCTATGATGGTCCAGTTTGGTGCCACTGTCCTGTTTCAAGCTAAAGTACTTGTAGCTTATTCGCCATTATTTTTGCACTATTGATACTGCTGTAATCAACCCAGTTATTCATTAACTGGAAAGAAATGAAGGGAAGGCCGAATATTATAGGCATGCCCAGTAAAGTCTAAATGACCTAAAGAGGGTGCTTGCCTGTCAGTCATACTTGGGAACAAGGCATGGGCCAGAGTAGGTATGTAAGTGTGGCCACTGTGAGCAAGGGAAGATTTGATATTTAAGCTCCTAAACAAAGGGGGTCTCTCTCTTGCTTGCTCTCCTGCTGCTGAGGCCTGACTCCTGAATCTTGGCTTGTGGGCTTCCATGCTCTGCTCACTCACATGACCCATAGCTATGAGGGCCCCACACACAATGGACTAATGGACTTTAACTTGATGTTATACGGGACTCAATT